CCAGTCTCCCAACCCCCGCCCACCTCGTCCATCAGACCGTAGAACCCCTGGTCAGAGTCCGTGCAGCCGCCAAAGCAGTCCTGCTCCCCGCCCAGCATGAACGCGCCGTGGGGGTCCAGGGGCGCCGTCTTCCCGGTGTATGCGCTGGCGGCGATGAGGCCGTCCCAGTAGATCTCGGTCAGCCCGTTGTCCGCCGCGGTCCACGTCACCGCCAGGTGGTGCCACTTGCCGTCCCGCTCCGTGAACCTGCGCGGCGGCCGCAGCGGCGAGGGAGCACGGGCGAGGGGAGCAGGAGGAATGGGTGCAGCCCCAGGATGGCGCCGCCGCTGCATCGCTGGGCGTGCTTTATTGGAGCACGGACAGCCGCTCAAGAGCCACCCGTTGTCTGGCACAACAGCCAGGTGCAACTCAAGGGCAACTCAAGGGCCACGCCTGCGCGCCCACCGGGCTCCGGCTCGCCCCCGAAACCCCGCGCCGCCCAGCGCCCACTTTGCGGTGGCGTCGTGGCCGGTGACGTTGATGTAGCTGGAGTGGCATGACTCGTTCTTCGGGTCAGGCTGCAGGTCGATGTAGTGGAAGTCGTGGCAGGCCAGGAGGTTCCTGGGGTCAAAGATCACAAAGTGGTTGAAGTCTGCCACGCGCGTGTCATGGTCTGTCGCCTTGCTGTCCTTGGAATAGGACATGATGGTCCCTGGGGGCGGGATTGCGCACGTTCAGTGGTGGTGGTGGTCGTGGTGGCGTTGATGGGCGTGCGTGTGGGTGTGGGGGGAGGGGATGGGGGTGAGCGCTGTGCGCAGGGCGCATGGGCAGGCGCTTGCTCTTCCGGTGTGAAGAAATGTGTGCTTATGCTGCCGCCACAATGGGAGCGCCTGGGGGGAGTTTCTGCTGCACTACCAAGATCCAACCCCCTGGAAGTAGACTCATCAGGTGTGCTGCCGTCGGCTGCCATGCGGCTGATGCGGTGGTTCAAAGCCTGTACGGTCAGCCGCTGGCAGTCCGCGGCAGCTGCTTGCGGCGTTCGCTTGTGCGGACGTCGCACGCAGCTGCCCCGGTTTCTCAGTGTGTGAGCGCCCCAGCCACCAGCACCACGCCGCCGCCAAAACTGCAATGCCTTGCCCCACATTCGCGCCCCCACAGCTCCCCCCGCTGCTGCTTGTCAGAGTGTCGCCAACGCAAGCCACGCCAGTCTGCTTCTGCACGTAGCACGCTGCCGCTGCACGCCAGATCGCAAATTCCCACTCTGTTTGCTCCCAGCGGCTTGCTCGCTGCTGGCATGCACCACCAAGCGCCAGAGCAGCGCGCCATACAAGGTGCCCGCGACAGTCCAGCGGCTGCAGACCCGTGCCGATCCCGATCCCCCAGGCCTGCCCGAGGCTCCGCGTCCCTGCCACGTAATTGGTGCTCCGCTGGCAGCGGCCAACCCATCTGCTGCGACGCTCTGCTGGCCTTGTGTCCCGCCTTCGCCAACGCCGACGCCCTTGGCGAGACCCCCTGGCTCAAGCCCCCCTGCCTGGCCCGCCGGGCCACCGTCAACCCCCGCCGCGCCCCTTTCTGAAGCCCAGCGCGCCCAGGAGGTCGCTGCGCCCCCCGCGCACCAGAGTGGCAGAAGTCCGAGGAGCTGATCCAGGCCTCAAACGTGAGCGCCGTGCTGGGAAAGTCCTGTGACAAAGCCGGAATTAGGGTGTGCAAGGTCAGAACCAGACAGCACACGCCGCGCCTCGGCGTTTGCCGCAGCCGTCCCCGTGCTGCAAAAGCAATCAAAATCTGGAAGTGTGCGCTGATGGCGACCTCGGGACGAGGGGCAAGCACTGGCGCGTGCATGCATCCACCACAGCAGCAGCAGCAGCACTGCGGCAGGAGCGGAGCGCTGCGCGCCTTCATGTCCTTCTTCAGGATGATGTGGTCCCTGAAAAGCAGGGCATGCCCAGCTGCTCCCGGTGCAGATACGCGCACACCGTCGCCTGAACGTTTGAGAGGACGCGGCATCATGGGACACAGCCCTCCTCCTTGGGAGCCCACCAACGCAACCTTACCGCCGCGCGGGCAATCAAATACAGCTATTAACCCAGCTAAGAGTGGTATCATCCCCCGCGCGCGGCCCGAGCGCGCGTCCAGCGTGCTAACCATGCTCACCAGACACCCTCACAGCCTGCAGGCACCCCAGAAGCAGCAGGAGCACTACTGAACCTCTCATTCCTCCCATTTTTGCTCTAACGCCCCTGCACACTACGCGCGCGGGCGTGAGGCTATGCAGCGGAACCCCTTCTAAGCCGAGGTGCCCTTGAGCCGGCTGAGCGAGCCTAGAGTTCCATTCAGGGCTATTGCACGTGTGTAAGCGAACAGTGTGATGCGTGCAAGGCTGGCAAAGTGCGTCGCGGCAGGTGCATGGGTGCGACATTTGCGCAGCGCCGCACTGGTGTCAAATGATCAAAAGCAGCAACCCCCACACCATTCGGCCCAATGTGACTCCTGCCATTAAAAAATCGAGCATCAGGAGTTACACACACAACGTCAAGGCGTGGCTGCGCCCTGACCTGCATGGGCCAAAACAAGAATTCGCAGCGCAGCTGCGTCGGGGCCCGTGTGGCCGCTGACGCCGCAACCTGGGACCAGCGCATTGCACAACCAGCCACCCGAGCCCTCAGGTCGCCGCATCACTTCAGCCAGATGCCCAGCAGGCCGATCACGGCGATCGTGATGAACGCCCCCACCTGCCGCGCGCTCTGCCCGATCACCGCCGCCAGGGGCACCTTGAGGACCGTCATGACGCCGCAGCCGATTGCCAGGCAGCACAGCGTCGAGATCACGGCGCCCAGCATGGGGCTGTTGAGGAAGAACGGGCCCTCGGGGTTGCGCCGCACCCTCTTCTGCTGGAACTGGTACACGCAGTAGATGAAAGTGCTCGCCAGGGGGAAGGACTGGTCGGAAGAAAACAGCACCCTGCGGGTCGGCCGTGCCGATGCATGCGTCGTCGGAGTCGGATCAGTCGAGCAGGTGTGCATGTTGATAGCAAACTGCGGCCTCGAGGCACGAAACCTCACAGGTGGGCATGAGACACGCAGCCTTGACATTATGATCGGTTCTCACTCCTCTCTGCTTTGCTGCGAGCCCTTGATCCTATGTTCACCAAACCACAACCATGTGCGTGCCGCTGCGCGACTTTGCCGATGCCTACTGCCTGATGAGGCCCGACCACATCACCACAGCCGAACCTGTGCCTGAACCCCTGCCCCAATAAGCGCAAGGCTCACCAGAGCGCAAAGGCGCCGAACACAGCACCCTCGTTGATGATGGTCCGCGTGGTCACCGTCGGGTCAAACAGCCCCTTGACCCGGGCAATCAGCGACGGCGCCCCCAGCTCCCGCGCGACGATGCCGCGGCCGCCCCGAATGCCTGGCGGCTGGAAGCCCGTCTTCTGCCGCTGCTTGTAGTGGGTCTGCAGCAGCGTGTCAAAGGCCCCTTCGATCGCCTCGCGGCTGGGCTCGTCCCACTTGTACCGCTGCGGATGGCAAGAAGATGGCGGTGCGCGGGAGACAAGCAGACCCGTGGTGACTCCTGGTTCAGTAAAGCAGCGCCGCTAAACAGCACGAGCAGGCGGGGCGGGGGTGCCCGCCGCGCAGGTAGGACTGCAGCCCTGCAC